AAAAAAACGAGAAAAAAAAAAAAAAAAAAAAAAGACGGTACTAACAGGGTTGTGAAGATTAGTGAATGAACATGTAAAACACAACGTGTAGAATGGTAAGCACCATGTCATCTATTGTTACTAGTTAGTGCTTAATTCATTTTAATTTTTTCATTTCTTCAGAAAAGGTGTCACCTTCATAAAGAGTCTGTTAACCTTATCGTACAAATCCTTTGGAGAATTTTCTGAATGAGGACATCTCGATCATAGGGTTTTGGTTTTAACTTTTCAATGAGAGAGATGGGGCTAAGATTTTATCTTATGGAACAAAAATGTTTACATGGTTTGCCTTTTGGGTGCTGAGGATTTGGGGCAGATACTTGAGCACTTACCCCACGTAAATCATTTTTAATAGTTTTTGGTTTGGATTTTTTTTTGATATGATAGATTTTTTTTGAGTTACTCATTTATGGGTTTTTTTTTTTTTTGCATGCTTGCAGTTTTTTTCCCCATTTAAATTGAAAAAGTAACTTCAGGGTGTAAATTATTGAAGAATTTTGGTGGGATACTGGAATAGTCAGCTTAGAGCATGGGAGTGGTCATGGATAAACCCACGTGGTACACCCCTGTTACCATTACTTTCAGCCAGTTCTTTGACTTGAGGGCATAACAGTCCAGCTTCTCGTAGTTACTGAAACTCTAGGTTGTGTAGTTGCCTCAGAACTCGTTCATACTCATGATCTTTGCTTAATTAAGAAGGTTAAACTTACCTAGGAATGTGGACTCTGGACCCAGACCATCCTGGGAGATCTGGACAACCTGAATTTAGGGTTTAGTTAGGAAGAGACTTGGGGGATCTGGTTAGAATCCCTTGGAAACTGACTTGACTTCTTGACGATATCACAGACTGGTGCCACTTTGAGATTACACATCCTGAGAGGGCTTTTGGTCCATTTAGACACTTGCTTGGCTCCCTCCTGTACTGGTCACTCTCAGCTGACAAACACTGGTCACTGTGTGCCATTTAGCCTGTTACCTGGCAGAGAAAGAACAACTCTCCAGGGGAGGTCTGTCTTGCAGCTGACTGGTGGCTCTAAACTCTGATGTTCACTTTTGTCCAGTTCACTAATTCCTGTGCGACCCTTACCGAGAAGGAATCCTCTTCATTCATTTTAGTAAACACTCTGTGTTCAGCTTGAGATCAACCTATTTTACATAATCGAATATTTTGCCTTGCTGAGGAAAGATGAAATTAAACACAGCGGTCGTGTATATTGTGTGAAGGCTGGGAGGGATTCAGAGGTGAAAGTGACATAGCCCTCATCTAGAACTATCCCACTGTACCTGACATACCTTTAGAACAGTTGGTGGCAACTGTTCTAAAGCTTCCAGTGTTGGGTTGCCCGAGGGAATGAGTAGAAGGAAGGCCTAGTGGGTTTTTGTGTTCCTTCAGTTTTTTGTTTTTTTTTTTTTTTTTTTAAGTAGGAGAGGATTAGCTTTATCAGTCTCCCAGGGGAATGTCACAGTAGTGATAAAAGCATGTCTGATGAACACAATGAATTTCCACGTTCCAGTCAGACTTAAAAAAAAATGCAACTTAAGATCAGTTAAGGACAGTGGCCAGAGATGCTGGTGGCCTGCGGGGTGGGTGCGGACTCTAAATTGTCCATGGACTTGGGATCTTTTTCATAAATTTTTTTTTACAGATTTTATTTATTAGAGAGAAAGTGCACAAACGGGGGCGGAGGGGCAGAGGGAGAGGGAGAAGCAGACTCCTCCCAACTGAGCAGGGTGCCTGATGTGGGACTGGATCCCAGGACGCTGGGATCATGACCTGAGCCAAAGGCAGACGCTTAACCAACTGAGCCACCGAGGCGCCCCTTTGTAAATTTTTACTCTTATAATAACAGTTAAGTCAAAATTGAGATAAACCTGGAGATTATATCATGTTCTTTGTGACTTAAGTGGGTGGCTGGCTGGCCCAGGTGACTACAGGAGTGAGGCTCTGGGCCTCACCCTTCTGCCCTCACCCTAAGTGAGTCCTAATTTCATTTGACTCAAAACTCTTAGAGCCTTTTGGGGAACTCACACAGAACATGTACTTTTTAGGGATTGACTTGAGCTCCGAGGGAAACTTTGGGATATACTGAAGCACATACTTCAAATCCACTCTGGTGTTTGGTTTTTGGCTTTTGAGCAATTACGACCAAAAGCCTCAGGAATGAAGTAGTCAGGAATGCAGAACCCTCAGGGAACTGATAATCAGATTTACTGAAGGTTTATAGCTGCCTGTCACCGACTGGTATTTTCCTGTTTATAATGCTCTGGGTTCTTGTGGGTAGGGATAGAAACACGCCGGTCACTGTGTACCATTTAGCTTGTTCCCTGGCAGAGAAAGAACTCTCCAGGTGAGCTCTGTCTTGGCGGGAGGCAGAGTATTTAGAAGATCGTAAGAACTGTCGCAAACAGTAAAGCAGGTTAAGGGGGTTGGGGGGTGAGGTGATTGCTACTTTATACAGGGTGGTCCTGGCATATTTTTAGGTTGACTGAGTCTTTGAAGGTTTTTGTGGAGGGAGAAGCATGAGCCTGTGTTTGTGGAAGAAATTTGAGAGGCCATGTGATGGGAGGGCTGGACATGTGGAACAGGGAGAGTATTTAGGAGAGTATTTAGGCTATAATTATGGGCCAGGGGAGCGATGATAGGGTGGTGCTGGTAGCAATTTCACAAGGGAATGGATGTGACAGGCACGGGATGAATTTGTAAACAGTGAGATGTAGAAAGGGAAAAAGGTAGGGAAATTCAGGATGTTAACTTTGGAGTATCTTAGATAAATGATGTCATTTACAAACAGAAGAATTTCAGGATAGTTTTGAAAGAGAAGCGGTTGACAGTGAATTTGTTGTGTGAGGTCACTTATGCTTGACCTCAAGAAGCAATTGGAAATGTAAGAAAGCCTCAGGGAACAGGTCAGCACTGACAGGTGTAGTTGGGGTTAATTAGGATAGAGAGAGTTTACATTCCTCTCCCTTTCCTAAGTTTGTGCAGCTTTTGTGTGACTCTCAGGCTCCAGAACTGAGGGGTCATGTGTACTTTTTTTTTTAAGATTTATTTATTTTAGAGCCAGGACATGAGCCGGGGGAGGGGCAGAGGGAGAGGGAGAGGGGGAGAGAGAATCTTAAGCAGGCTCCATGCCTGGCACAGAGCCCGAGGTGGGGTTCGATCTCAGGGCCCTGAGATCATGCCTTGGAAATCAGGAGTCAGATGCTCAACTGACCTAGCCACCCAGGTGCCCCACATCATGTGTACTTTTAAGTGTGATCCATGCTGTTTTTCCATGATCTTGTTTTTGTTTTTTTTTTTTTTAAGATTTTATTTATTTATTTGACAGAGAGAGACACAGCGGGAGAGGGGACACAAGCAGGGGGGGAGGGGAGGGAGAAACAGGCTTCTTGCTGAGCAGGGAGCCCGATGTGGGGCTCGATCCCAGGACCCTGGGACCATGACCTAAGCCGAAGGCGAACGCTTAACGACTGAGCCACCCAGGCACCCCATGTGATCTTTTTAAAGAAAAAAAAATGAACATTCACGGAAAAATACAATAGATTGGATTTGTATTTGTAAGGAGAATTTAAAGTCAGAATAACGGAGACACAAACATGGTTAAAGGAATTGAACCTTAATGACAAAATATACTCATTAATATGTTTTTGTGGTGTTTTCAGGTGCTAAATCACCTGAATCAGGTGATTCAGCAATCATCCTGAGCTTTCGTAATAGCTGATGAGGTTAGCGGAGTAGGAAATTGAAGCACAAATAAATGCCATTAAGGTCACCCCGTGAGCTTGAGTTAGCTAGAGAAAGCACATTTTCTGCTCATTCATTATAGTGCTCCATATGTCATTCTGTTTATCTACTTCTTTTTAAACTTGTTGTGGAGGCAGTTTTGCCAAGGATGCCCCCATTTTAATATTTTCTGCAAAGCCTAAAAAAATAAATGTGCTTGTGTCAAATCAAGGTAAGTCTTTGGAACAATCTGAAGATAAATTGTTGAAGTGTTAGGACAAATTTGAGGTTTAGTGCTTTGAACTCAAAAGTGTGTTTTAGTTGCTTTTGGTAGAAGATAATGAGGTGCTCACTTAAGTCTAAATTGTTGGAGTCAGAGCAGCGCTCATGTCTTCCTGGGGCTTGTGTGGGATTAGGAAGAAGACTGGGAACGGTGGGGAAGCTGTTTCTAGGAACTGGTGCATTCAGGAACCTCTACTTTATTTCACCGTGGCCCGATAACGTACATAGTTTATTACCTTTCTTGGCGGAGATAATTCTTAGACTTTTCATGTGAGTTAGCTCTGTGTACAGAATGCTGACAAAGTCGTTATTGGGAATTTTATTTAATTCCTGTGACAGATCATTACGGTCAGTATAATACCACCATTTTATGGTTGAGGAAACTGGGGTATTACACCCAAATCAGTATTTCCTTCTTAGTGAATCATGACATGGTGTGTGTGTGGGTATATACACACACACCTGACCTTATTTTTTTCAACTCAAAGTAAGAATAATAGTTCTTGTGACCCTTTCTGTGTTTCTCCTCAGCCTTCTTCACTGTTTCCCACCTCCTTCCAGCTACTTTGTTTTCTCCATCAGTTTCTGTTCTGAATTTTGGCACAGGGATGATTTATGTAGAGAAGGTGTGATGAGAAGAGACGAACGTCTCAAAGACTGTGTTTGTTACAAAATGTGTTTATAAAGTTTCAAACATATAAAATAGAATCACACAGTGAACACCATATATCCGTGATTCAGATCCAACAACTGTCAACTATCGCCACATTTGCTTTTGCCTCTCCCGTAGTTATAAAAGTAGTCTCAGATTTGTCTGTTACATCTCTCCTACATCAGTTTGCACCCCTAAAAAAAAAGAGACATTACATAAATGCAATGCCAACATCATACTTAACAGAATTAACACTAATTCTTTGATATTATCAATTATCCAGTCCATAATCAAATTTCCTGGTTCTTAGAAATGTCTTTTTACAGTTGATCAAATCCAGATCAAATAAGTTCCACACATTACATCTGGTTAAGGACCAATTTTAAAGCAGATGGCTGTTAAGGAGCCACATGGAGCTCTCATTGACTCTTCCAATAATTTTATTTTCAGCTTCCTGTGGTATTCCTTCTTTTTTGTTCTAATTTTTTCTGTCTTTTTAGGGGGGGTGTGGAAGAACACCCCAAATTTGATACATTACAATTGAAAAAGTGAAAGTTTATTTCAGAAGTAAATATTTGAGATACCAACCTCCAGATTTGCCAGACCATATAATAACAATAGTCCAAAAAGGATCTTAACAGTTCTCTTGCAATATCCTTGTATACCTAACTATATGGAATTGTCCTAAGTCACTAAAAATATTACTAAAATCATTTTGAGTGTACCACTGTGTATAACTGTCCTAGTATAATTCTACCTGGGATGTCACGACTAAGTGCCTTTCTCAAATTTTGGAGTGGAGGTGATAGAGTGTGACTGTCGAAATAACTTTTCCTAGTTGTTGTGTAATCTTAAACTGGATTTTTTTTTTTTTAAGGTGAAGCTTGGAAATTTATATTGTTTCTTTTTCTTTTTTTTTTTTTAAAGATTTTATTTATTGAGAGAGAGAGAGAGAGTGAGCAGGGGGGAGAGGGAGAACCAGGCTCCCCGCCAAGCAGGGAGCCTGACGTGGGGCTCGATCCCAGGACCCTGGGATCATGACCTGAGCCGAAGGCAGACGCTTAACCGCCTAAGCCACCCAGGTGCCCCGAAATTTATATTGTTTCTCTAGGACAGTTCAGACTTTTTAAATACAACTCCTGACTCATCTGGAGAGAGAGAAACAAATGAGTTTATTAAAGAGATTGCAGAGTCTTTTTTAACAACAAAGAGAAGTTCATCTCGTCAGTATTTCAGTTTTGAAAAATAACATAGAGTAATGTAAAAATTTTTGTATGAACTGGCATTCCAGTTTGTTTAAAAAAAAAAAAGTTCCTTTCTGGTGGTTAGGCAGGCATTATAGACGAAAAAGATGGAGTCCTAGGTCTGGGCTGGCACATAGAGGCACTGGCTTGGGGGAGCACATAGGAGAGTCGGCTTACAGAGTAGGCGGTTTCTGGCTGATAGAGCAGTCAAGTGCCTTGAGAAATGGGCACCTGTTTCTCGTTTTACCGAAGGCTTGTTAGGGGCTAGTCGGGGTACCGTGGCCTGCGTTTCAGACTCGACTTAGAAACAAAGATTTGTTGAAGTAACCACATGAAGAACATTTACAGCAATACCTCATTTGATACGAGAGTGGCTCATAAGGTAGCACTTGCTTTTTGGCAACCTCTATTATATGGCAGAGTCGACAGCCAAAAGAAGGTGAAAATGGCCCACTGAGGCAAAAATAAACTGTACAAAGTCTTTGAACTTCGTATGATATATAGAAGAGCCTATTTAACTTTATTTTTTTCTGTGCATCTCTAGCCCATTTATCTGTTTTCTAGCCCAATAATTTAAAAAAGCCAATAATAGGGAGGGAAGAGGCTGCAGTTAGGTAGCTAGCAGAAGCAGTGAGTTATCGCTGATAACCAAATGACCAGTGGTGGAGATGGGAAATTTATTTAGAAAAAAATAGACACAGGATTCCAAACAAACTCAGATCACCATAGATTGGTTTTAGGTTGGCAAATGAAAAGGCATTCCTAGCTCAAACATCTGAGGAGATGATTGTTTTGCCACAAAATGTGATCAGTGGTATTCATAAGAATGACCTGGAGTTAGCAGAAAATGTTAAATAGAATATACCAAGTCCTCTTTAATGAAAAAGGTTTGTAATATATTTTAGAAAGCTTTTGATCAGTGTCTAAAATTTCACAAAATGGTACTTAAAGAGCTTTGAGTGCCTGCTATCATATCTATTTTATTAAAATGTGCCACTTGGATATCTTTGTTGCCTACCAAATTCACCTATGTGGATCACTTCTTTTTCTAATAATACCAGGTAAATGACATTTCTCTAGTCCAGTCAGACTTAGGAATTGTTTCTAAAAAAGGGATTGCGGCAAGAAAAAATATAAAGATGTTTGCTACAAATGTTCTCTTTGGGGTGTCTGACATACAGTAAACACTCAAATACTTGTCTGTAGAGGTGCTTAATTCTTACTAAAATAATTAGTTCATCTGATCTAAAATTTTAAGAACTGTGAAATTCATGGTTGAAAAAAATCTCAAGCTGTAAAAATATATTTTATAATTGTTGAATTATAGGCTGAAGACTTTAAGTGACAAGTCAAGAGAAGCTAAAGTAAAAAGCAAACCAAGGTAAGCCTGTGCTAAGATTTAATTTACTGTGACTTAAATTTCACATAGCATTCGGCTCTAGTTATAGTAGTATTACTTTAGTGGATTTTACATCTGTTAAGTGCACTTGACTACAAAGCAATCTGATTATTGATAAATTGTGTAACACTGGAAAATTTTCTGAGAAAATTATGAAATGGCTGAAAGGGACATGGTGAGGGGTAGTTGTTTTATTCTAGGACAACCAGTGGTTATTGTTTGATCACAGTTAATCATTTTGTATATTAAGCATTAGTAAAAGTCCTGCATTATTGAGAAGCAGATTAATAATGAAACAGTACTTGGCAAGTGAGCCTCCGGAGCTGTGTTACCTGTTTTATATAAAAACACACCAGTGTTGTGCAACTTTTTCATTTTCATTTTTTTTTTTTAAGTAAAAAAAAAATGACCAAATTTCACTTTAAACCTAGAGATTATGAGCTTTTAAAAAAAATTCTTTTCTAGCATGTTATCAAGGTATTCATCGTATTTGCTAAAAATAATCTGTAGGGTAGTGATGGATGATAGTATATTACAGTATTTGAATTGTGAAATAAAGCAATACATTTCTCTGAAAGTTTAGGTAAATTGTCAGTAATTTAAAAATATTCCACATTACAATTGACAGTGTCAAAATTCTCATATGTAGCTTTTTTTAAGTTGGCCTCAATCGGAAGCAATTTTAATAAGTGGTTTTGTTTTTTGTTTTTTGGGTTTTTTTTGGCAGGACTGTTCCATGTTTGCCAAAGTACTCTGCTGGTCTAGAATTACTTAGCAGGTAAGTGTTTCCATTTAAATAAGAAAATTATGCTTCTGACTGTTGTCTAAAAATATTTTATAATTTTATAGGTAGAAACCTTAAAACAACTAAATTTTACCTAAACATAGTGATTAGAAATTATTAATTTATTCATTTCCCTGAGGGGTTTTTACTTTCCATTGATTAATGCAAAGTCCGTTCAGACTTTGAGCAGATTGATCACTATTGTATTTGCTAGTCAGTACTTTATTATGTGTATTTATGTTTATGGTTTTTCTGTTGAAAGAAAATTGATTTTTGAATTTAAGTCCTTGATAATTCTCTTTGATTTTTAATTTTATGCCATTTCTTCTCTACTCCCCTCCTATTGGCATGCAGATTAATATTAAAATACATGATTTTCTTACATGTGGCAACAAAAGCATAAGCAACAAAAGAAAAAATAAATTGGACTCGATCAAAATTAAAAACCTTTGTACTTCACAGAACCCATCAAGAAAGTGGAACAGCAATCCACAGAATGGGAGAAAATATTTGCAAATCATTTTTCTGCCGAGGGACTTGAATCTAGAGTATATAAAGAACTTTTATAACTCAGTGATAAAAAGACCCAGTGAAGAATAGGCAAAGGATTTGAATAGATATATCTCTCAAGAAGATATAAATAGCCAGTAGTCACATGAAAAGATGCTCAGCACCTTTGTGGATGCTGATCGAGACCACAGTGAGATACCACTTCACACCCTCTAGTCTGGCTGTAATCAGAAACACAATGACAAGCGTTGAGCACATGGAGAAATAACACCCTTTTGCACTGCTAGTAGGGACATAAAATGGTGCAGCTGCTGTGGAAAACAGTTCAGTAGTTTCTTAAAAAGTTAAATGTAGAATTACTGTGTGACCTGGCAGTTTCACACCAAGAGAATTGAAAACATACGTCCACATGGAAACTTGTACACCAGTGTGCATAGCAGCATTATTCACAATAGCCAGAAAGTAGAAACAACACCAATATTCACCAACTGATGAGTGTATATTCAGCCACAGAAAGGAACGGAGCACTGGTGCATGCTGCAAGGTGGATGACACCCCAGAACCCAACACAACGGCCACGTAGTACATGATTCCATTTCTGTGAAATGTCTAGAATAGGCAAATCCATAGAGATGGAAAGTAGATGAGTGGTTGCCACGGATTGGAGGAGAGAGGGTAATGAGTATGGGGTTTCTCTTTGGGGTGATGACAATGATTTGGAATTAGATGGTAGTGATAGTTGCCCGACTCTGAATATACTAGAAACTACTGAATGAGACACTTTAAAAGGGTGTGTTTTATGGTATGCGAATTACCTTAATGTAGCTGTTATAAAAATATATAGCTTAAGTATGTTATATGCAGTTCTGAACTTAACAGTGAGCCCTCTGACAGATCTGTGCTGAAGATGTGTGCAGGAGAAGATAGGCTCCTTCTCCGGAGCTGCGTTTATGATGACACGGTCACCTATGCCCACAGTTTGCTTTTTTTTTTTTTCTCTTTCCTGGCTTTCTTTTTATGGTTGCTAAATCTAGAGATTTTTTTTCTTTTTTGAAATGAAAAGTGCTTAATTTGATACCAGTTTCCTGCTTGGTTTTGTTGAGTGAAGAGCGTAAGTGAACATGAAAGAAGGTATTGTAAATATCAGTGGTGTACTGTTTACATTTTATCATTTTTTTTTAATCTAGTGATTTAGTTGAATGGACTTCATTGAAAGATTTAGATGGGTAGACTTTCATGTGTGGTAGTTGTTTGAAATGGGGTGCACTGTGGGACTTAACAAGAAAATTTATAACCATAGGAAGATGTCTATAATACGTCCGTTCATTGCCCTGAAACACAGTTTTTTTCTCTTTGGGGCTAATATTAAGTGGAGGAAAGACCATTTTAAATAGTAGATCTCTAAATTATAATGTTTTTAATTGTTAAAAATTGTGATAAAATACACGTAAACATGAAATTTACCATCTTAACCATTTTTAAGTGTGCATTTTGGTAGATGGATTTTTTTTTCTGCTTCTACAAAAAAAGTCATTGGAATTTTGATAGAGATGGCATTAAATATTTATAGATTACTTTGTGTATTATTGACAACATCTCAATGATCTTAGTCTTCCAATCCATGAACATGGGATATCTTTCTATTTATTTACATCTTCTTTAATTTCCTTCAGCAGTTTTGTAGTTTTCATCATACTAGTCTTTCATCTCTTTTGTTAAATCCTAAATTTTTTTAATGCTTTTATAAATGGAGTTTTTAAATTTCTTTTTTGAATTTTCATTGTTAGTATATGAAAATATAACTGACTTTGTGTGTTGATTTTATATTCTGCTACTTTGCTGAATTTGTTTATTAGTTCTAACAGGGTTTGTTTCTGTGGAATCCCTAGGCTTTTCTACGTGTAAGATTATATCACTGGCAAACATAATTTTACTTCTTTCTTTCCAATTTGATACCTTTTCTTTCTTTTACTTGCCTAATTGCTCTGGTTAGATCTTCCAGTACTATGTTGAATAGAATTAGCAAAAGCAGGCATCTTTGTCTGTTTCTGATCTGAGAGGAGAAGCTTTCAATTTTTTTCCACCAAGTATGATGTTAGCTGTGGGTTTTTTATATATGGTTTTTATTATGTTGACATAGTTTCCTTTTATTCCTTGTTTTTTGAGTTTTTATCTGAGTTTATGAAAGTGTGTTTTGTCAAATGCTTTTTCAGCATCAATTATGTATTTTTCCCCTTCATTTTGTTAATGTGGTATATTACATTGATTGGTTTTCATATATGAAATCATTCTTGAATTCTAGAAAAAAATCCTGATAGGTCATGGTATATATCCTTTGAATATGCTGCTGAATTCAGTTTGCTGTATTTTATTGAGCATTTTTACATCAGTGTTCATAAAGGATATTGGTCTGTAGTTTTCTTGGTCTGTGTCTTTGGCTTAGGTATCAGGGCAGTGCTGGCCTAGAATGAATTAGGGAGTGTTCCCTCCTCCGGTTTTTTTTGAAGAATTTGAGACAGTTGTTTTTTTAATGTTTGGCAGAATTCATCAGTGCAGCCAGCAGGACCCAGGCTTTTCTTTTTTGGGGAGGTTTTTAGAATTTTTGTTTTCCAGTTTTATTAAGATATAATTGAGATATGTCACTGTATACGTTTAAGGTGTACAGTATAGTTGTTTGATTTACATGTATTGTGAAATGATCACAATAAGTTAGCATTTATCATCTCATGGAGATAAAACAAAAAGAGCAAAAACAGAAAAATTTTTTCCTGTGATGAGAATTCTTAACAGCTTTCATGTATGTCATACAGCAGTGTTACTCTAGTCATCATGTTGTACATTACATTCCTAGTACTTACCTTATAACTGGAAGTTCATACCTTCTGACCACCTTCCTCCAGTACCCTCTCCCTCCACTTTTTTTTTTTGGTAACCACACATCTGATCTCTTTTTCTGAATTTGGAATTTTTTTTTTTATTCCACATATAGGTGAGATCACAGAGTATTTGTCTTTCTCTTTCTGATGTATTTCACTTAAGCATAATACCCTCAAAGTCCATCCATGTTGCCACAAATGGCAAGATTTCCTCATTTTTTGTGGTTGAGTAATATTCCATTGTATATATTGTATGTGTATGCACCGTTCATCCATCAGTAGATGCCTAAGTTGTTTCTGTGTCTTGACTATTATAAATAATGCTGCTATGAACATTGGGGTGCAGATATCTTTTTGAGTGTTTTGTTTCCTTTGGTTACATACCTAGAAGTGGGATTGCTGGATCATATGGTAGTTCTGTTTTTAATTTTTTAAGGATCCTCCATTATGTTTTCCATAGTGTCTGTACTTGTTTACAGTCCCACCAACAGTGCACCAAGGGTTCCTTTTTCTCAACATACTCACCAGCATTTGTTACATCTTTTTGAGGATGGCCATTTTAACAGGTGGGAGGTGGTATAGTTCATTGTGGTTTTGATGATTTGCATTTCCACAATAATTAGGATGTTGAGCATCTTTTCATATACCTGTTGGCCATTCATCTATCTTTGGGGGGGGTTTTTTTGAGGTCTTTTGTACATTTTTTAAAATTGGATTATTTGGGGGGTTTTTTTGGTATTGAATTGTATATGTTCCTTATATATTTTGGATATTAACCTTTTATCAGATGCATGGTTTGCAGATATTTTTTTCCCATTCTTTAGTCTCTTTTCACTTTATTTCTTTTGCTCTGCAGAAGCTTTTTAATTTGATACAGTCCCACTTCTTTTTGTTGCTTGTTCTTTAGGTGTCATGTCCAAAAAATCATTGCCAAGACCCATGTCGTGGAACTTTTTTTTCTTCTAGGAATTTAATGGTTTCAGGTCTTACGTTTTCTTCTAGGAATTTAATGGTTTCAGATCTTATCCAATTTGACTTAATTTTTGGGAGAGATATAAGATAGGGGCATAGTTCCATTATTTTATGTGTGAATATCCCATTTTCCCAGAACCATTTATTGAAGAGACTCTCTTTTCCATTGAGTATTCTTGGCTCCTTGTCAAATATTAGTTGACCACATATGCTTGGGTTATTCTGGACTTTCTATTCTGTTCCATTGATCTATTCATTTTTATGCCAGTTTCATACTGTTTGGATTACTGTAGCTCTGTAGTGTAGCTTGAAATCTGGAAATGTGATGCCTCACTCTTTATTCTTGTTTATTAGGATTGCTTTGGCTATTTGGAAAAAAAAAAAAAAAATATAAATTTTAGATGGGTTTTTGTACTTCTGTTAAAAAAAAAAAAAAAGCCACTGGAATCTTGATAGGGATTGCATTGAATATATGGATGGCTTTTGGTAATATTGATGTTTTAACAATATTCTTCCAGTCCATGAATGTGGGATACCTTTCCATTTATTTTTTCATCTTCGATTTCTTAAATAATTGTCTTACAACTTTCAGAGTAGAGATCTTTCCCCTTCTGGGTTACGGTGATTCCCAACTATTTTATTGTTTTTGATGCTATTGTAAATGGGATCATTTTATTTTTCACATAATTTATTGTTAGTTTATAGACATGCTACCGATTTTTGTATGTTAATTTTGTGTCCTTCAACTTTATTGTGTTTGTTGATTAGATCTAACAGTTTTTTTTTTGTGGAGTCTTCAGGATTTTCTATGTATAAAATTACATCATCTGCAGATAGAGATAGTTCTGCTTCCTTTCCATTTCTGATGCCTTTTATTTCATTTTCTTGTCTGCTCTGGCAAGGAGTTCTTAGTACTGTGTTGAATAGGAGTGGTGAGATTGGGGGGGCGCCTGGGGGGCTCAGTCGCTAAGCGTCTGCCTTCGGCTCAAGTCATGTTCCCAGGGTCCTGGGATCGAGCCCCACATCGGGCTCTCTGCTCCGCGGGAAGCCTGCTTCTCCATCTCCCACTCCCCTGCTTGTGTTCCCTCTCTCTCTGTCAAATAAATAAATAAAATCTAAAAAAACAAACAAAAAAAAGGAGTGGTGAGATTGGGCACCAGAAAAACTTTGAACGTTTCACCATTGAGTATGGTGTTAGCTGTGAGCTTATATAAGGCTTTTATTATGTTGAGTTATGCTCCTTTTATACTTAATTTAAGATTTTTTTTTTTTTTTTTTTTTCAGATGTTGAATTTTGTTAGATGCCTTTTCTCTCAAAGGACTTTTTTTTGGTCTTTCTATAAATGCATCACATTGATTTACAGATGTTGAACCCTCCTTTCATCCCAGATATAAATCCCACTTGATCATGGTAAATGATTCTTTTAATGTGCTGCTGAATTTGACTTGCTAGTATTTTATTGAGAGTTTTTGCATCTATATTCATCAGGAATATTGGTCTGTAGTTTTTTTCTGATATTGTCCTTTACTGGCTTTGGTTGCAGAGTCTGCTAGCCTCCTAAAATGAGTTTGGGAGTGTTCCTCTTCATTTTTTGGAAGAGTTTGAGAATGATTGTCATTAATTCTTCTTGAGATGTTTGGTAAAATTCACCAGTGAAGGCATCTCATCCTGGGCTTTCCTTCATTGGGAGATTTTTGATTACTGATTCAATCTCCTTACTGGTAATTGCTATTCAAACTTTTTGTTTCTTCCTAATTCCATTTTGGTAGTCTGTATGTTTCTAAGAATTTTTCCATTTCCTCTAGGTTGTCCAGTTTGTTGGTGTATAGTTGTTCATAACAGCCTGTTAGAATCCTTTGTATTTTTGTGGTGTCAATTATAATGTCTTCTTTTCCATTTATAATTTTGATTTGGGTCCTCTTTTTTTCTGTGGTTAGTCTAGCTAAAGTTTTGTCAATTGTGTTTGTCTTTTCACAGAATCAACTTTTAGTTTGGTTAATCTTTTCTATTGTTTTCCTATTCTCCATTTCATTTATTTTTTTTTTTTTTTTTATTATTTCCTTCCTTCTGCTAATGTTGGCATCAGTTGTTTTTTTTTTTTTCCCCTAGTTTCTTAAAGTGTAGTTAGGTTGTTTATTTGGGATCTTTCTTCTTAACATAGGCATTTCTTATGAACTTCCCTTTTAAAACTGTATTCCATAAGTTTTGGTATGTTGTATTTCCATTGTCATTTGTTTCAAAATACATTTTTATTTCCTGTTTAATTTCTTCTTTGATTCATTATTGTTCAGGAGTGAGATTTTCAATGACAGATGCAGTCTCCTTACTAGTTATCAGATTTTCGATTTCTTTGGGATTCAGTCTTGGTAGGTTTTGTTTTTCTAGGAATTTGTCTGTTTCTTTTTATTATTATTTTTTGAAGATTTTATTTAATCACTTGAGAGAGCATGCACGTGAGCACAAGTTGGGGGGGAGGGACAGAAGATGAGGGAGAGGGAGAAGCAGACTCCCCGCTGAGCAGAGAGCCCGATGTGGGGCTCGATCCCAGGACCCTGGGACCATGACCTGAGCCAAAGGCAGATGCCCAACCGACTGAGCCACCCAGGCGCCCTGGAATTTGTCTGTTTCATCTAGGTATCTAATTTTTTGGTGTACAGTTACTCATAGTACTCTCATAATCCTTTTTATTCCTGTAAAATTGGTAATGTCCCCGCTTTTGTTTCTAATTTTGAGTCTTCTCTTTTTTTTTCCTTAGTCCACTTAAAGACTTAATTTTGTTAGTCTCTCTGAAGAACCAATTTTTGGTTTCATTGATTTTTCCAATATATTTATTTTCTATTTTATTTTTCTGCCCTAATGTTTATTTTTTTCTTCCTTCTGCTAGCTTTGGGTTCAGTTTGTTCTTTTTCTACTTCCTTAAGTTGTGCAGTTAGGCTGTTGATTTGAGATCTTTCTTCTGTTTAAATGTAAGGCGTTTATAGTTATAAATTTCACTCAAAGCCCTGTTTTCCTGAGTCCCATAAGTTTTGGTATTTTTTTTTTTTATTTTCATTCATCTCTTAATATTCTCTGATTACCCTTATTTTTTTCTTTGATCCATTGATTATTTCAAAGTATTTGTTTAATTTCCACAAATTTGTGAATTTTCCAGTTTTCCTTTTGTTGTTGATTTCAAACTTCATAAAAAAATGGTCAGAAAAGATACTTCATATGATATCTCTCTTTTTGTTTAAAAAAATATATAGACTTTTTTAGTTCAGGCTTAGGTTAGCAAAATTGAGCAAAAGGTTCAGAGATTTCTTATTTACCCCCTTTAAAAAAAATCTATTGCGTGTTAATCTGTGGCCCAGCAGATGATCTATCCTGGAAAATCTCCCATGTGCACTTGAGAAAAATGTGTATTCTGCTGTTGTTGGGTAGAGTGTTCTGTATATATCTCTTCTATCTAGTTGGTTTATTGTGGTGTTCAGGTCCTTTCTTGTTTATCTTTTGTCTGGTCATTTTAACCATTCATTATTGAGAGTGGAGTATGAAGTCTCTGTTATTGGAGAATGGTTTATTTCTCCCTTCAGTTCTGTCAATTATTGCTTTGCGTATTTTGAAGATTTTGTATAAGAGTACAATTATGAAAACCAGGAAATTAACCCTGCTCCATAACCTACAGACCTCATTCAGATTTCATCAGCTATCCCATTAATGTCCTTATTTTGGGACCGGAATCCAATCTAGAATCATAGATTATATTTAGTCACCGTACCTCCTTCATCTCCGTTAATCTGGAACAGTTCCCGAATCTTTGTTTTTCATAACCTTGACACTTTTGAAGAGTACTTTTTTGTTATTTTTCAAATTACTGTTTTGCAAAATGCCCCTCAATTTGGGTTTACATGCCTTTTTTCCCCCCCTCGTGATTAAAGTCAGTGGTTTTTTTGGCAGGAATACCAGAAGGGCAATGGTGTATCCTCAGGGCATCACATTAATAGACACATGATGTTTATATGTTTCATTACTGTGGATCACGTGGTTAGGGAAGTGTCTGCCTAGTTTCTACACTGCTGTACTGTTTCCCGCTTTTTAATTTAAGGAGATATTTTGAGACTAATAAATATGTTGTTTCTCTTCATAATTTCCCTCACTAATTTTAGCATCTATTAGAATTCTTGCCTGAAACAATTATTGTCGTGTTTACCAAGTGGTGATATTTTAATCATTTTTTCTACAATTATTAATTGGAATTCTATAGGAGAATTCCCCCCTTTTCCCCCATTCATTTGTTCAGTTGTTTATTTAAATCACTGTGAACTCGTGGATGTTTGTTTTAGCCCTTGAGTTATAACCCATCACTACCATTATTTATTTTGTCGCTCAGACTGTCCCAGGTTTGGCCATTGGAAGCCCCTTCAAGTTTCTCCTATGTCCTTGTGACATGTCCCCATTATTTTTGAGTTATTTTTTTTTTTTAGGGCACCATAGGGTGTTCCAGGTTCAGTTTTAGATGATATATTTTTTTAATGTGTGGTTTGCATTTTGAATTATTTTTTGCTTTTTTTAGGTATGAAGATACATGGGCTGCACTTCACAGAAGAGCCAAGGAATGTGCAAGTGCTGGAGAGGTAAAGAACTGGCTAATCTTATACTTGTGGGAACAATATCTGTTTGCAGTGCTAAAGGCTAGTTTTTAAGGAATTATATTTGGGACTACATTAAAATATTTTGCAGGATATCTGCAGTTGAATTTAGTAGTTGATTATGAAACTCCCTCAATTACATTTTTGTAATTTCTCTAAACTAAGCCTAAGATTAGTTAGGATTTAGAGAGTTTATGAGTTTTATTCTCAAGTCACAAGTAAATATCTGGCTCATCTAGGTACAATGTTTTGAATTTGAGATGCCTAAAATCATTAATTTGCTTAACAAATAAATGTAGATGTTTCAGGGGTCATCCTCAGTTCACTCAGAAGAACAAACTATTTTTCTTTAAATTTTTTTATTGTTATGTTAATCACCATACATTACATCATTAGTTTTGGATGTAGTGTTCCATGATTCATTGTTTGTGCATAACACCCAGTGCTCCACGCAGAACGTGCCCTCTTTAATACCCATCACCAGGCTAACCCATTCCCCCCCTCCCCTCTAGAACCCTCAATTTGTTTCTCAGAGTCCATCGTCTCTCATGAAGAACAAACTATTTTTTAGCAGTATGTGTAGAGTGTATAATGAATACAAGTGACTTGTAATTAAAAGTATTCGGTACATGTACTGAAAGCTTTATTAGCCATGATCGAATACTCTGTGCTATTGATGTCAATCAAACTTCTTTCTAAAAATACTTCTGTGATTCTGACTTTTAATTAAACTGACTTTCTTTATCACTTACCTAAATTAGTGCAGCTGTAACAGTTACATACAAAGTTGAGTAATACATGTGATGAAAGTTAGACATTAGTGTTTCTCTTAGAAATTACTGAAAAGGGGGAATGTAGGTTTCTGGTAGTAAGGCAGACCAGGTACTTTGAAAAGCTCTGTAGCTATAAAACACTTAAATGCTGGATAGATTTTTTAAAAATTATTTAATGCATTAGGCTCACAAAAAAAAAAGGAGATCCTAAAGGGCCAAAAAAAAAAAAAAAAAAACAAAACAAAAAAAGAACGGGGAACTGAAATCAGAGTGGTTAAAAAAAATCCTGTGGAAGCTGGGGTAAAATACTAAAATAAAAGCTTTCAAGATTTATGGAGAAAGGAGACTTTGTGGGGAACTGGATCTGAAGTCTTCTGCACAGAGCCCTTGAGTCTTTGAGGTAGCTGCATCCCTACCTGAAGGTAGGAAGGCAAAGCTCCCTGTCTATAACAACTTGGAATAAATACAGTCCCCTTTCTAGATTTATTACTGTCGCCTTGGTTTCATTTCAGTGTGGGGCTCAAATTTATACTTCCTGCATGACCGGGGAGCCACCGAGTTAGGAATGAAAGGACCACAGATGACTTGTTCTTTGACACCCAGCAGAGACAAATACAGGTGTTGCATGGACAAAACTATGTAAACCTGGGCCCTCAGTATCTCTACAGATCAATTTTCTACCACCCCTCTAAAAAACAATTAACAAACACACAAAGGAATATATTACCAAAAGTTTGAGAGGCACCAGAACCAAAGATTAAAATTTAGACCTACAAAGGACATTAGGTATTGCACCATTGGATAACAGACTATTAAATAGGTCAATGCAAAGTTATAGAGATAAAAGATGGATTAAAAAATGAGTAAGGAATAAGATTTTATGACTTTAGAAAGTCACTGACATTAAAACCCCCCCAAGGGTGTGCTTCAACAGCAATTATATACAAATGAAGAAAGAACATAGTGATGTAGAAGGAATCTCTGAGATAAGTGGAAAATATGACAGACGAGTAATAGAGAATAGTTCTGGAAGATCTTCAGGTTGAACCAAATGAGATGACCAGTATTAGTCTAATTTTGATCTGTAAAGTTAGAGTTTCATATGGGTCAACTTACCTAATAAACATTCTAGAAAGAATGAGGGAAAGACAGTGTAGGAGAAGATCAATATACAAAAGATAAATAGAATTACAAGGAAAAAACCAGATAAATCCATAATCAAAATGGGAGAATTTTAATATATTCCTCTTAATTGAGAGGGGAAAAAAAAACAGGTAAAATAAGTATGGATATAGGAGATTTAAATAATGTGATTAACAGACTTCACTGGATGGACAAATGTAGAATACTGTCCCAGCAAATATAAAATACAGGTTCCTTAAAGCATATTTTTGGAACATGTAAAAATTGACCAGGTACTGAGGCATAAAGCAATCCTCAACAAATTTCATGTAAGTGAAGTCATACAGGATACTCTCTGATCTCACTGCAAATGAAGCTGAAAGTCAATTCAGGAAGACAATTTTGAAGATTCTGTATGTTTGGAAATAAAAAATATTATGAATATTTATGGCTCAAAGAAAGAAAAGTATTGAAAAATTTAAGAATTGAAGGGAATGTAACCAGTTACTGCACAGAGCAAGATTAAGAATTTATGAACAGTTCTGACAAATTTGAAAAGTTAGATGAAATGGCAAAAATCCTAGAAATTTTTACCAAAACCAATTCTAGAAGCAATTCAAATTTTTTTTAGTATTATGGTCACTAAAGAAATTGTAGTTAGTGATTAAAAATTTTTTTCTGCTTAAGAAAGCACCAGGTCTGCAGAGTTAGATAGGAGATTACTATCAGACTTCCAGGGAATCCACCATTTCAGTGTTAGGCAGACTTTTGCAGCAAATGAAAAAAGAGGAAACTGTGCCCAGCTCATAATGAAACCCAACAAGGGAAGTATGAGAAAGTGACATTGAAGTCCAGGCTCATTCATGAATGTAGATATAAAAATTATAAACAAAATAAAGTCATCATCTCTCACCTAACTTGTGTTATGTGTCAACCCCAAACCCTCAACCAACTCGCCTGAGTATATTTAAAACCAGCAAAATGTCTACCCGTGAGTAGCAATCTGTTAGGGTGTAAAGTGCTCAAGGCATAGTTTTCTGATTACCAAACCTTGAACGTACTGGTTTATAATGAACAGTTGCTTATGTGCAGTGATGGGGCCCCTCAACACTAGCAACACGCAAGGCCTGCATCTCCTTTATGGGTGTGCTCCTAATACTGTCCTGTGATTGTGATATGCTGACAATTGTATTTGAAATCTAATTTGAGAATCTTCTTTCACATTGTTTTAAAATGTGTATCAAGCTTAAATATAAAGTTTTCTTATATAAATATTAGCCAGAACTTTGTATTGTTATGTGTATGTCCTGTGAGTGCTGGATGATAGAAGGCATTCTGCCAAGGAGACATTCTGCAGTGCATGGTTGTGTTGGCAAACCCAGCAGTGCATAAAAAACAAAATTTTTTTTTTTTGGGTTATTCCAGGATTGAAAAGTTGACATTAGAGATCTTTTTTTTTTTTAAGAGAGAGAGAGAAAGTGGTGGGGGGCGGGGTGCAGAGAGAATCTTAGGCTCCATACCCAGCATAGAGCCTGACTCAGGGCTCTCAGTCTCATGACCCTGAGATCATGACCTGAGCCCCAATCAAGAATCAAACACTTAATCAGTCAGAGAAAGACATGTATCATATGACCTCACTGATATGAGGAATTCTTAATCTCAGGAAACAAACTGAGGGTTGCTGGAGTGGTGGGGGGGGGAGGGATGGGGTGGCTGGGTGATAGACATCGGGGAGGGTATGTGCTATGGTGAGCACTGTGAATTGTACAAGACTAAAAAAAAATGGATCTACTTTTGAAACAAATAATGCAATATATGTTAAGAAAAAAAAGATGAAGAAGAAGATAGCAGGAGGGGAAGAATGAAGGGGAGTAAGTCGGAGGGGGAGACGAACCATTAGAGACGATGGACTCTGAAAAACAAACTGAGGGTTCTAGAGGGGCGGGGGGTGGGGGGATGGGTTGGCCTGGTGATGGGTATTAAAGAGGGCACATTCTGCGTGGAGCACTGGGTGTTATGCACAAACAATGAATCATGGAACACTGCATCAAAAAAAAATGATGTAATGTATGGTGGTTAACATAACAATAAAAAATTATTAAAAAAAAAAAAAAGAATCAAACACTTAACTGACTGAGCCACCCAGGCACCCCAACCTTAGGGGTCTTTTAAATGCAATTGACCGCATTAACATATTAAAGAGAAAAATATATGATCATCAGTCGCAGAAAATACAGTGGACCAGTTGTACAATATAATATAATCAAATGTAGAAATTCAAAAAAATTAAGTATCTATTTAGAGTAAAATGATTTAGCAGGTTTTTGTAGAAGATAACTCCTTTTCCCGATATCTGCCAAAACCTGCAGTATTTGACTTGCAGTGCATTGATCCCATATTCAACCATCTTGCTAAATCCTCTTTCTTTTCTTTCTTTTTTTAAGATTTTATTTATCTACTTGAGAGAGAGGGAGAGAGCATGAGCAGAGGGGAGGGGCAGAGGGAGAGGGAGAAGCAGGCTCCCAGCTGAGTAGGGAGCCCGACTTGGAGCTCGATCCCAGGACCCCAGGATCATTGACTTGAGCTGAAGGCAGACACTTAACCAACTGAGTCACCCAGGAACCCCTAAGTCCTCGTTTCTAATAATTTGTATTTGGGTGTGGGAATTCTTTTGTGTAGATGGTAGGTTTTAATTTCTTCCCTCCTAACGTGTACAACTTCCATCTCTCCATCATGTCTTTTTACACTGGGTAGAACCTCCAGTATAATGTTGAATAAGAGTAGATGAAGAACTTGATTCACATTTTGGCTCCATCAGAGTTGAATGTGAAAGGGAAATGACATCTTTTGGGAAACAGTGGAAGACCTTTAAGACCTCAGAGTAGAGAAAGATTTCTTAAGGAAGGCATAAAAAGCACCAATCAAAAATATTAGTAGTTTTTATCAGGGCTTCTACTCATTAAACAACACCACAAAAAAGTTAAGCAATTGATAAAACAGAGGACACAAGTGTTCAGGAAATATGAGCAGCATATACAAACCAATAAAAAGAGGGCAGAAGGGAGCAAAAGATATGACCAGGCATTTTAC